TCTGCTAACCTCTCACGTATGTTGCTATGCGAAACTGCTTGTTGATTCTGTTTTTTATAGGTTCGTCGAAAGAAGTGTCGGCGCAGATCACCCTAGATGAAGAGAGGTAGGAGGATTAATATTTCGTTGATTAAATTACCTTTAGGTTACTTTATTTAGCGACGCTTAACAAACAAAACATCAAAAACGGGCAAAAGTCCTACACGTTTTGGCTTTAAATTGATGTTATTTAGCATTAAGCCGCTGCAATCAGGGTAGATCTATAGTACTGTAGGCCTAGGCTATTTTACCTTTTCCTTTATCAACCAGAACATACAATATAGGCCTATAAGGACGTCACTAATATGACTCATTGTTAATATTTGGTATAATCTCACCCTAATTCTTCTTCCAACAAAATACATATTACTGCATATTATAATATGCATATTATAATATTATATATAAAGGGTAATTGCTCATAAAACAACTGAGACCTAATCTTAACAAATGGGCTTCACCACTGACGACAACAGTAGGCCTATAGGGCGTTACTAATGACTCATTGCTAATGTTTGTTATAGCTTATGTAACCCTTTTTCTTCTAACAGAATACATATTACTGCATATTATAAAGTAATTTACTTGCTCATGAAACAACTTGACGTAATCTTATCAAATGGGCAGTCACCACAAGTCATACGCCAGTGTACCCGGCAAGAGACATCGGATACGAGTTGTACCAAAGTGGGTAGAGGACCACGCACCAAAGGAGGGGAGCCCGTATCCCCCTGCCAACTCCATAAATGATCAAAGTACGCAAATGATAGCATTTTATAAGACTTCATGACCAAAGAGGAAATAGTAGTTTTCTGCATTAAGACATCATTAAACTATTAAATAAAATGATCTGATTATATAAAGTGCAACTTATCCCAACAATATTATATAATTGCGTAACTTCTCTCCATAGTAATTGATAAATAGTAAAATATATTCTTATACAACCTAAGATGTCAACGTGAATTTTCTCTCCCTAGAATAAAAACCGAGCGTTCGAAGAATTTTATAACAAATACTGGTTCATCCCTGTACACCCAGGCCCTCCTCCCTGGCGAGGTCTTTTTAAATGAGTTTTTCCTTTTTCTTTTGGTTGGTTTAGGTGTCGGTCTGAATTTTCTTATACATTTCCTGTTGCAATAATTTTTTATCTAAATTGTAAATAAAATGTCATTTAAATTTTAATTATTTAGCGAATTATTTATTTTTGTACTAGAATTTTTTACTTAATGTTGCCTAATTAATTGTAATGCCTTATTGTAGAATATTTATGTGTTTAGTGGGTTTGTGAAGTTGTTTTGTAATTTTTTTTCTCCCCTTTTGTTAAACTTCAATATTGAATGAGAGATTGCAATAAAGTTCTTCGTATTTCGTATATTCAAAAATAAGAGAATGAAGAGCAAATACACAAAAATAATGCATCGTATATAAAGTAAACCACATATAGTAACCCAGTGGGTTACTGGAATGCCAAAACGTCACTGGCTCGTATACGGTTTCTTCTGATAGCGTTATTGCTTGTACTATAGGGTCAAAATATCATAATGTTTCTTTCTACCTCCAAGCAGAAGCATTATCAGAATTGATTCACTACACAATCGAAGGAAACGCAATCGCCGTCAGACCCCTACTGAAATGTGGGGTGAATGTGAACATGCAGGATGATGAAGATGGCTACACTGCACTACATTACGCCGTTGAGGAGAACCATCACGATCTTGTGCAGATGTTCATAGAGGCAGGGGCCGATAAAAATATCGAAGCCAAAGACGGGAAAACATGCGCGGACTTAATAACCGAACAAGGCGACAAAGTAAAACGAGTACTGGCTGAGTAAAAAGTGTTGTGAATTAGAGAAACAGTAATGACATAGTCATACAGAACGGGAGTGTAAGTAGTGATTAAAACGTATGTTGCATGTGCGAAACACTTTGATAGTAGGCTATATGATATCTGATAAAACTGAGATGCATTCGAAAGGTTTTTCATTTCAATTGTATTATGTACGAAAAAAATAGCATTCATTGAGCGGTACTTTAAAATGTAAATAAAACTCTTAGCTCTTCTACAAAAGTCAAGCCTTTATGGAGATAAAGAGAATAATATACGGTATTTATCGGTAGAAAAGATGTATAGTAATAAGCAAGCAATGTTGTGGTTGGTCCTTGTTTTACAATCATTACCGTAAATATATCGTTGTAACTTATTAGTTAACAAGCTTCCTGGCGATAGAATAGCACTCTTGAAAAAGTAACGACTATTGGAATGGACAGTTTACGGTCTTTATGAGAGCCTTCGTCTAAATTAGACACGCAACTATATGGTTGATTATACAAATAATGAATGTTTATGAGCACAATGGGAAGAATATTTTCATGAGTTGAAAGATTGACTGTTCCATTCAACGAGGAGGAGCCAGCCGGGTGGAATGGAACAGTCAATCTTTCAACTCATGAAAATATTCTTTCCATTGAGCGAATAAAAAAACTTTCATGATTTGTTTTTTTAGCACACCTAAAATAGATTCTTGTGCTTTGTTATTTTATTTTTAAAAAATATATACCTTCTTTTTTTTGAATGGAGATTTTTGTTATTTGATATTTTATAAAAAAAATCTACCATTTTTCTAAATATGTAGAACAATCCAGCGTACTTTAACCAATTAAAAGATTGTATAGGTTGATCGTCATATGGTATCCTTAGGCTAGAAAACGCACGAATGGAACTAAAAATGCATGGAGAATTAAATTCCATGATAAAATGACGAAATATGGTAAATAACCAATGTCACGTGATACGAAATCAACCAATCAAATGACAGAAATCTATTTACCATCATTTTTAGACCAGGTAGGCCTATGCTTAGTTTGCAAACATTTTAATGACGTCACAAAATCAAGCCATTTACAAAAACGGAGTTCTAGATGTATTTATTTGTTCCGCTTAATTTGATATTCATTATTTCTTTTAAAGTACAATGATATTTTCAGTTGACAATGTGTTTTATATTTTTATAATTGCAGCTTTTATATATCTGTTCAGTATTTGCTTAATACGTTTTTTCTGGCAAAAATATAAGGGTATTTATTAAACATATTTATTAAGGATGGCATCATCTGGTGGGATGCAACAATCTGTTTTACCTTGTAAGCGGTTTCCAAAGGTTAACATTAACTTTTTTAGGTCACAATGAAAACTCTGGGTGCATGCGACCTGGAGGATGGAAAGGTACTGCCATGAAACCAAGAGTATACCCTGTCTCTTATACACATCTAGATGTGTATAAGAGACAGTATATATATATCACAAATAAATAAAACTAACAATTTTAATTTTTTTATGGAAAACCTTCTACTTTGCTTGGTTTAAAGAAGAAGAAACTGTAATGAAAGAATAAAACGTTCTATAATTTTAAATATAAACCACTAAGTAATGGTACAATGAATGAATTGACTTTTAGAGTAGATGAAAATGCTGAATAATTATATAAATAACTATAGAGAAGGTTTTACAAATATTACTGAAATAATTCCATATAATAAGATTTTAAAAGAGGAAAGGAGAATTACCTCCGGAATTACCTCTAAAAACCCCCGGGCAAGTGATCTTACTTTCAATCTTACTTAAATTTTCGGGCTCTGGAATAAGGCGTTAGCCTTTCAACGCCCTCCATTTTGTCTTGTCCTAGTTAAAAATTTGTTTTGTATTGCCCTGTCTTTGTTGAGAAGGTCTTCAAATGAGTTTAAAGCTTTCTGCTTTTAGTGTTCGGTCGTTGAGAATGTTCAACATTTAAACGAACTCGAGGCTTTCTTAATTTAAACATATGTTCCTTTGTTCTACTGGAATCCATAATATTAAAAAAGGCTCCAACTTGGATCATCATCAATGCCGCTTTATAGCTTAAATACTTAAAGAATATCTGCTCTGTCTCTCTCCCTCTCTTCTGAGTTTCATAGTAGGTAGCCCCAATTCTTTTAATATTTGTTCATAACTTTTATCACTAAGATTGTTTACAATTGTTGTTGCTCTACGCTGCACCTGTTCAATTTTATCAGAATCCCCTTTCAGGATAAGATACCTATTGTTTAGGTAACAACAAATATGTGAAATAGACAAACAGAATAAACATGAAGAAGATATCAAACAAAACGTTGCATAACAAATAATAAACATTGGATGAATTTTGTTGATGGTGTAACTGACACACCCCTTACTCTGGCCCGCGGTCGATCGCATTAGCACATTACACCATGTTAAGTAAATATTGCTTCATCTGACAGGGTTTTTTGTAATTAATATTTGTCAGTCACCACTGGATACAAAACGCTGGATAACAGCTGGTGGTATTACGATATTAGCATATCAACATATTAACCTTACGGAAACAAAGGTCAAGTTTTAGGTTATAATTTAAAGAATATTTATGTAACAAAAAGAAACAAAAAAAAAATGGTTTTGAATCACCATTCTACTGACCTACTATTAAGTTGACACTTTTAATTTAGTAGTTGTCTATACACTGATGAGGAACGCAGCCACGTTTAAAATATTTGTTTAATAAAGTTTATGTTCCAAGAATCAACGACTAACATCAATTTATTTTGTGTTTTGTTATTTAAGAAAGATGTATTACGGAGGCATTAAATAATTCATAGATTTTCATAAATCTTACAAGCAGAAATCATCTTAACACATGGCAGTAAATGAAAAAGAAACTTCTTTAAAGCTTCACCTTCCATATATTAGCTACCAACAAGGAGTGAACACTCGCAGCTCCAATTTAGAAAAAAAGGTGTTTTACAACCTTTACATTTTTTAAATTATGGTATATTTTATATTCAATTGTGCAGTGGTTGTGGGGAAAGAATAGTTGGTGTGCGATGGAATCACGGCTTGTTGTGATTGTCATTTTTATTTATACAGTATTTGGTTTATTTTTTTAGAGAGGCACATGAGTAAAAATGTTGGCTAACGGACCTGATGGAAACTTCGCTGCTTATCACTATACTGATTTGGACAAAGTTGTTATCCCCATCATTATGCCGATCGTGGTCACCATAGGTATCATCAGCAACGTAATGACAATTATCGTGATAACAAGTTCAAAATTTATGCACACAAGTGTTAACATATACTTTGCAAATTTGGCAGTAGCTGATACTTTGTACTTATTAGTGGCACCTTCTTGGATTTGGAACTCGTATGTTAAAAGTCCGATACATAATTGGTATGATATGAGTGAAGGTAGTGATTGGTTTTGTCCGTTCTATTCTTTTATAACTGGAGCGGCGACAGCAGTCGCACTCTTCACAATCTTATGGATGTCCATTGAACGTTATATGGCAGTTTGCAAACCTTTTCAGTTCAGAAAAAGTGGATTTGGAATTTGTTCAAGATCTAAAAAGATTTGTGTCATCATCTGGCTCTTAGGCTTGTTTTGGGATGCGAGACAGCTCGTCTTAACTTCCGCCAAATTCACTGATGTTAAAGGTCTAAATTTTACACAGTGTAAACATAATGATATGAATTATTACATTCTAGTGTTCGCAGATCTACCTATCATTTTTTCAGCTACCATGGTCGTGGTATTTCTCTATACGGCAATGCTGATCTCATTACGAAAAGCACGTGTTAATTCAGCTGATTCGGCCTACACCAACAAGAAATCCAGATTAAAATCGGAAATGAAAATTGTTCTGACATTAGTTGTAACTGTCATTGTTTATTTTGTTTGTATGCTCCCAAAATACATACATGTTTTATTGTTAAAGTATAAAATTATAAACGAAATCTTACTAATCAATATCTTCAAACTCATGTCTATTATAAATTCATCTGTGAATCCTTTGATATATAATGTAATGAATGACTCCTTCAGACGAGCTTTTCGTGACTTATACTGCAGAAGATATAATAAAAAATAATGAATACTGTCAAAACTCCTATGAACGTCTATAAACATCAAATCTTTATTTAATTTTTCCTACTTTACTGGTGATCACGAATCACAGACAGCGGTTAGAGGGCGTCCTAATGGTAATGGACGTTTTTCAAATTTCTAGTAAACCTGTACACATGCAAGTCACAAAATCGGTGATTATTTTACTTCTATAGTACCATGCCCTGTACGTAATAAAATCTAAGTACTACTTCAATAACCTGTCGGAAAGGGCCAGCTCGTAAGCTAGAGAGGTTTTCCAGCACTTTCGAAACTAGGCCCCTCTAACAGTTGGATACGGTAAACTGGACAATTACGGCAACCAAGCGGTTTGTGTACCGTTGCCAACGGTTTTTGTATATGGTACCGTTTCCACGGTAAAACACCTGAGCTGAGGCGGCGCATTAAACGTATACGTATACAAACTCTGAGGAAACGAAATACAGTACAATCCTGTACAAAACTCGTGGTAGCATTGTTCACTTTTATTATTTTTTGATGCCGCATTAATTTATCATCATGTCTAAGCAGTACCCAGTGGAACCGGTATATAATGAACCTGGCACATCACCTCCAAAACTGAAACTTATAAACCAAGAGTTAATACCACCGAATGGAGTTAATACCACCGAATGAATTTATTGAGTATTCACCACCAGTACTAAAAAAGATATGTGATGAATTTCCCAACAATCTACAACAGGAAATAGCTGATAATATCGGTATCTTTGCTGAAAATTAAAACTTATATAGATAATGTAGCACACAAATTAGGTCTACCGTGACAAACACCAGAAAGAGAAATTGAAAAAGTAAATGCCGAAAACATCACAATGGGTGAATGCACACATTGTAGTCCTACACCATCTCATAGAGAATGTAAATATGCCATCAAAAATCTAGAAATGTTTTTTACTGATATAGGCCTACTGGTGAATGCAATCAATGAAAACTGTGAGCTACAACATTACAGTACACAAGCAAATTACAGAAACTGAGCGAACATTATCTAAAGCAAAAGACAAAGCATATGAGCTAAAGAGAACTCAAATTGCAGTTGACACCTCTGTTTATGAAATAGCTAAGGGAAAAAAAACAACAAACATATGCAGATGCGGCAAAAAGTTCACCAGTGCATAAACAATACATAAATTGCAATACAAACGTAAGAATAACGAGATCATCCAACAAACCATCAACAACTGTGATAGAAAACTCGCATCTTAAAAGCATAGATGCCAAGCGTCTCCCAATCGCGTCACGTCACGATGATAGTCTCAGCAAAATCTCCAGAAAAACCCAGACTGTACTGTTATACCAGGGAAGTATAATATCTCCCTGGTTATACATGAAATCACAAATACTATTAAGGACACGAGCGCAAAGGAGTGTGCAAACGCCCTGTATAATGTGACAACGTTATGCCATCGAATTCCCAGATTTCGTCACTTCTTTGGGTCTACCGAGAGTAGGGGAACTCAATTTCAAAACAGAGATGGTAAATGCTGAAATCAATGAGATTGACAATATACGTAACTTGACATTCTATGATAACAGCAATTTTTTTGAGATACTGTATTATTTACCATTTACCTGCACTCAAAATCATATTGTTACCAAGCAGATGTTAAATAATATCAACAAAGGTCCCCTTTTGATCCGCTAAATTATAGTGATGATTATGAAAACGAAAATATTAAAATTGATATGCAGCTTCCATATTTACAAGGTAGCTTATCTGATAGACTAGATTCTCTCAAAAATTTAAATATTTTCACATTGATGACTTAAAAAAATATTTTAAAGACATAAACAAAACAGAAATTTCAATGATTCACTTCAATACAAGAAGCATAAGTAAACATTTGGAAGGACTTAAAACGCTTCTTAACTTGAATAGATCATAAATGTAAGGTTATCGGAGTCACCAAAACATGGTTAACCAAATGATGATGACCTTTCTTTTTAAAGATAAATTCAGTAAATAAAATTTGCCATATTTTTGGTGATTTTAATATTGATCTTATAAATTATAGTAAAAATAAAACTTTTACCGAAAAAATGATGGCAAATTCCCTTTTTCCCCTTATATCTAAACCAACTCAACCTATCAACAAAATCAATCTATCTGAAATTATATGTGGGGTTCCGTGCAGGGGTCGATCTTAGTCCCTACTATTTTCACTTTATGTAAATGAGTTAACAATGAATTTAAGGTAATCTCTTAAGCGGATGATACCACTGTTTATTATTCAAGTAAAAACATCACTGCTTAACTCATACATTAAACTTTTAAACTTTCAAATTCAATGAATGGTTTAAAACAAATAAACTTGTCCTATGGATGGCGTCACATGATTCTTAGGTACTGTTATAAACAAAATTTAAGCTGGAAACCCCACATTCAATATTTATACAAAAAAATATATAAGGCCATTGCTATCATCTGTAAAGTCAAAAAACATATTTCCTGTACATACACTAGAGCAGCTTAGCTCAGTCGGCTAATCTGGTCTAAAATATGAGCCGATTCGAAAATATATGAGCCGATTTCGACGGATATTTTGCCGCAAATTGAGGCCTTGATAGTAGGAACACAAGTTTTTACGATTCTGTGCATCTAGTTTTATTTTTCTAGAGGTTTTCCCGAGCAATTTGAATTAGTTTTTTTGTGTCCTCACAAAAAAAAAAAATACATTTGAAGTTAGTATTACAATTTATTAAGATCTGCCAACGGGTACTATGATATAGCCAACCCCCTCCCCAAAATAACGTGATAAAATACAGTCCTGTAAGCATGTGACTGACACCTCATGTATCGTGGGAATCAATCGCCTGAGAAATGTTCACTTTCAGTTGTCGAGACGACGGCTTTTATTAAAAGCTTTTCTTATTGCGTGCTTAAAATTTAAGCACGCAATAAGAAAACGATCAACACACTCTTATATACATAGAATATTATTAATAATGTTTATTTTATTTGAATTTTTCCATATTATACATTATTGAAATCCCTCTCCCCTACTGGATCTTCCCCTGTTGCTTTGGGCTACCCTCTTCTAAGTGAAAGTGCAGCAATATACAGTAGGCCTAGCCTAGTTGGGCATGAGAGAAGTGTTTCTCTTTAATCAAGGTGGATGTATGTAAAGATTATGTGAACTACTGACATTCATAAGAACCCGTAGTCCCGACGTGTTTACGTAAGCTATTGATTGTACGCACTCTGGTGTACGTTAGGTTGCGTTGTCAAAAAAGAATATTTGAATGTTAACATTACATCATGAAATAATATTGGGAACATAATTTATACAAAATTGTTGTTTTAATTACATTTTTGATGATTTCATATTATAAATTAATATTTCATTGCATATGATAGGATATGATAGTTCTAAGTCAAATGCAACTGATTTTTATGTCAATAAAAATAGACTTATAAAGAATGTGTGTTATCGTTATATGAAAACATGGAGAAAACCCCTATTAAGAGGACAGTTTCACATTTTTGGTGAGTGTCTGAATTGGGCCACTTTTTTTCAGTCCCGAAGGTGTCTCCTTAACAGGAGTTCTACTCTATTTAAATCGTAATGATTTCGGTTCCATCGGAAATGTTTTAGGGGTAGGTATAGTTCATAAGGATTCAAACTTAAAAATAAATGTCTAGCGCATATCTTATTATTTATTATTATCTTTCTTTTGTAGGAAGATGAAATATTAATGGTTGAAATAAACTACTCATTCCATAACGCTATTGTCGTCTGTAAATCTGACAGGTTACTCCATCAAAAGGTGTACACGTACTTCAGAATTAATTTAACCGTCAGCTGTATATATTATATTACATAACAAGGAGTTTAATATTTAAGTGTACCTGATTTAACACTGCGTTTGTAAAATATTTAAAAACTTTGCCCACAATTCGTACGTCTCATATCGTAACATTTTGTAAGGGTAAACTTTCCAAGTAGGCTTAAAGATGATCATACCCATACCAGATGTTTTTCGATTAATAGTATGAAACTATTACGCATTGGTCTATGTCTAATAATATAAAAATGCTTAGAAGTAACCGTTAGGCCTATCTACTGTTTATAAATTGAAATTGTATTGGTAAATATATTCCTTATTTATATTTGTTAATATGCATATCCGTTTCTGTAAGGTAGCGAAACACAATTAAAACAATAATAGAATACACAATTTGCAATATAGGTACATCATGTGCGGAGACATACAGATATAAAAGTACCATAAAACCTGGAATAGACTCCAAGTGGACTTAACCTCTAGAAGAAGCCAATCTCGAAAAGAAAACGCAAACCCCACTCCTTCAGTTTCCAGAAGTAATCTCTAAAAGAAACCCATCTCAAAAAGAAGCCTATTAGGCTGCAGTCAATATGGGCTTCTTTTCGAGATAGTGGACATTGCAAACAAATGTCGAACAGAGATAAAACAATAAAACAAGACTTGGTTTATAGTTCATGATGTCAGTATACCATCATATACTATGTGATGCACATTGACGTTTTCTTTGATGAGTTGATAGCGTGTCAGTATCAATATAATTTAAACGTATGTTATTAATGTTTCATCTAATCTTTTCTGCCTCAGAAAACCAGCCGTTTGTAGGCCAAAACAAATGTCATTTCATTTTACAAGGCATGCGTATTGCAATATCGTATTCATTTGCCATCAGTTGATGTGTCCAACGAAATCACAACAGCGACTCGGCTAATGAGCCACAACTGAATTTGCAGGTTTATTTTTTACGCGACTTGCGACCTAAGGTTACCTGGCTTTATTATTATAGACTGTGCTCCATGTAGACCTCAGAGCTGTCCATGGAATGTGAAGTATTTAGGCCTAGACGGATCACGGTGCGAGAAGGAAGACATGAATATGATGATGAAGCAGTAAAACTTGATAGAAGTCAATATATTACAACACAGTTCAAAACAAAACCAATTTGGAATTCAACGTAGTACATGCAACCAACTCAATCAGCAGAATACAGTAAGATTAGAGCTGCATTAAAGTTAAGCCTCAACGATATTTCAAAATTAATTTCGAATTTAATTATGATTGAATCAAAACAGTATCAACACCTGTCTCTTATACACATCTAGATGTGTATAAGAGACAGTAATTAGTCACTAGTAGGCGTCCCCTGTCACTACACAAGAGGCAGGTGCATGTGTTTCTAGGCTAACGTGAAGGAGAGTTCCCCCGATTTATCTCTTATCTAAATGATCCATGGCACAATCGTGGGTACTGATTTATTTGACTGCTGCATAGTCTTTTCACATCCCGCCCACCCTCTCTCCCTCAAGCAAATTGGTTCCGGCACTGCAGAGCTTATTTAAATTTTACAATGAATTTTATACAACAAAAATTCACTGCTTACCGATTGTAGGCCTATGTACTGCACTGAGGACCTATCTTATTCTAGGTTCACGATGCAATTACAAGGACAGTACCGGTAATTATTTGAATTTTGGATACCATCAACGTCTCATACTTCTGGTAATAATTAGTTCCCTACAGCAGTGATGGCGCCAGGACCTGCCCGACGGAGGGGCTAAAGGCGAACGGGGGGCTAGTGGAGCGAATCGAGTCTCACTTGGCTGGGGGCCAGGGGGCCGCCTAGGGCGAAGCCCCCTGAAAGCCACGGATATTTGATGAACTATGGCGAATTTTTATTACTTATTTGATAGGCATCGAGTTACTATAACATGACTTCATGTAGGCTTTCTAATGTTGAAATCAGCTTCCAAAACCAAAACATTTTGAATAAAACAAGGAACAAAGAGTATGCAATGTAACCATCTAATTCTTTTTTTCAAATCCTCATTCTTGAAAGAAATTCTGTATTTTGGAAATTTTGCATAAAATCTGTCAACAATCGCGCTGTCATGGTCAAGGTTGCTTCACCTATCACGATGTATTCCAACCATCCTGAGGCTATCTAAATGAGCATTTGTCATAACAGAACGTAAATTATTTTTAATTAGTCTCATTGAATTATCATTATTATTATTATTATTATTGTTATTGTTGTTGTGACGAAAGTTAACACGAACAATGGTTGCTAAACGAATATACATGTAAATATATATTTTTTTTTTTTGTTCCCTGGACAAAATTTATCGTCTTCCCCGACGGGGGGTGGGGCTATAGCCCCCCCCCCCCTCTGGCGCCAGCACTGCCCTACAGCCTATCTTCACATTGATTAACAGAATTTCTTTATAGAAGAATAGGGTAATAGAGAGCGACATTCTAATACCTACCAGGTCACTTATAATTTAATCTACGTAATAATACTAAATTTCGCCATTTCGCTTTGGCTTTAAATTGATGTTATTTAGCATTAATCCGCTGTATTGTACCAAAGTAGATCTAAGCTGTACTGTAGGCCTATTTATTTTTTATAACAAACACAAGGCCGACAGCTATAAATCCACTTTTACTCAATATCTAGGCCTGGACGTCACAAAATAACTCATTGCTAATATTTGTTATATATCACCGATTTTCTTCCAACAGAATACATATTACTGTATATAAAGGATTTTATTTACTCATAAAACAACTGTGACCTTATCCAAAAATGGGCCGTCACCACAATTCATACGACAGCGTACCCGGCGGCAAGAGATTGGATACAATTAAAGTGGGTAGAGGACCACCAAAGGAGGAAAGCCCATATCCCCCTGCTAACTCCACAATGATGAAGGTACGCAGATGGTAGCACTTTATAAGACGTCTTAACGAAAGAGGAAATAGATCTATTCTAAATTATGAGTACGGTGGTTTTCTGCGCTATTAATATTAAGATATTATTAAACCATTAAATCAAATGATCTGATTATATAACGTGCAACATACAGGATTCCAACAATATTTGATAATCACGTAATGTCTCTCCACAGAAATAAATAGATAAATAGAAAAATAGAAAAATTATATTTTAAGATAAGAAAATGAAGAGTAAATACATATAAATAATGTATTGTATATAAATTACCGTAAACCACATACCTATAGTAACACCCAGTGCATTACTGGAATGCCAAAACGTCATAGGCATACAATGTTAATACGGTTTCTTGATACTGTAGACCTATATTCTCACCTATAACATGAGACTTAAAATACTAGCAAATTACGATTAAAAAACAGTGGGGTCGTCTTATACACGCAACACATACACATTTTATACGTCTTATGTGTGAATTGTTCGTAACACTCAAATTTACTGAAATGAAACTATTAAGAATGAAATGCAATTTTCAATGCAGGGAAATAGGTTTTAATGCACAATTGAATGCCTATATGGTATTGTTTGGATGATCAGCCCTACATTTGCCTCTGTTTTTAGCCAGCTAGATGTAGTATCAAGACCGTAAAGAGCAGCAAAAAGTAGAAATTCTGACGATGGGGGGTTGTCTTAAGACCAACTCAGACAGCGTCGTACGACGCAGCCCGACGAGATTTGTATGGGTACCAGCAAACTGCTGGGGACTAACCTGCGACGGACCGTTTGTCCCGTCCAGGAGGAGTACAACTCTCATCCGCTTCACACTACAGAAATTGGGGATAGGCTCCAGCCCTGTGAGTCCCTAGTGGCTCGGAAAGGATTAAGTTTGTTTTTTTTATTTTTTGTGACAACACTAGTTCGCGATATGCCATCAATATAATATAAATATCATACATCCTCATTTTAAGCATTTGAACGGCAAGACTGGATCTCAGAAAAGATATCTATAAATTATTATTATGTGGTATGTGCAAGTATTAACACAAGACAATTTAAAGTACTGTATCCAGGGGGCTTTTGTTTCCCTCTGGCTGTCGTTTGCAAATACAAAAGCCAAAGTGAAATACTGTCAATAGAAAACATAAGCCAATAGGTATTTATATCCAAAAAACACTTCATTCCATTTCAGTTATTTGTCTCAATTAAAAATCATAAAATTAAAGCAAAGTTAAATGAGACTGGCTTGCCAAAAGAGATTCAAGACCTCTGTCGAGTGGGTGGCCAAGATAATAAAATAATAACATTAACCAATAATAATAATAACAATAATTAGTTCTTCAACTCGTGTTTATTAATGATTCATTTTATTTTCAAAAAATGCAACAAAACAGTATCAACACAATCACTTTGGAATAGAATAAACCAAATTTCATAGGCCTACTTCTGAAATCCTTTCTGTTGGACTTATATATAATCTGGTACTTATTACAGGCCTAATACGGAGTATATTCTTGCATGTAAAAAACCAGTTTAATTTAGGTATAATTCACACAACTGCACATAATATAACAGTTACACTATATTGGTATCCTTAATAATCATCAGTGTGTTTGACTATAATAATTATGCTTGAAAAACTTTCCCTAAACTTTTTTACATTCAATTTTTGCTTCTTTTATCAAATGTTCCTGTTTCAAAAAATTATCCTAATTTCGTAATTTTCTGTTGTTCTGTTACTCACATAGACGAACGTAGTAATGTGATATACAGGTGTACAATCATGGAACATCATAATTAAGCCTAGTTACATTAGAGCAATGGTTTTTTATATTTATTTTTTATACTCTTAATAAATTTGTATTTTTATTGGTGTCTGTTCCAGTAATGCGGCTATATAACGCCAAAAATAATTTTTGGTTTCACAGTATTGTTTATAAACAATGTGCCATATGACTGCTAAATACTGAACTAGTTTTCCATTTGACTGGTTCCTATGGCAAACAGATATCTAACTTGTATACATGCGCTACAATCAGCACGAACATAACAATTGGTAGTAAGTGACAATTTCAGGGCTTGCCTTTACAGAATCTTTAAAAAAAAAATAATTAAAAATACAAGCAAGCTTATTGTTGCCAATTATTGTTAGCTAATTGCTAATTTTTATGCATTCATCATTTTTGTTTATTTTTATTTAAAAAATAGATTTTCAGTCACTACTGAATTATCATTAGACACACTTTAATGTAATAATTGTCATATAACTTGTCTTTAGCTTTAATACAAAATATTTCACACAATTGAAACACATGGAAATACTTTATCCTATCATAAGAATCCATGCGATAAAAAAATTTACATTATATTTAATAATAATACTGCACGTTTCATGAATTAAAATACTAAATACTGCTAAAAACATTAAAATAGGATGCCTTTCTATTTGGATGGCTATATTGACTTGAACAAAAAAAGGTATAAATATTGCAAATTTAAAGAGGTGACATTCGTACCATATATTCTTTTATAATTTAATTTCATGCTATGTATCCACCAAATCAACAGCGACATTGTTAACCGCCATTTAATGTGGTAAACCCACAAGAAACAACATAAAAATCATATGCATGGTTTATCGTAATGTTTCAAATAAATTTGTATAGTGTATACATGTTATATACAATTACAAAATACAGATATTGATTGATATATATTGATATTAATATATCTTGTGATTTTGCATAGAAAATATCAGAATTAATCAACAGATTGTTATCAGCACAAGTCAATTGTCTGCAACAAACACAAACTAATAATACGATCCTTTTACAATTTTCAATACAGAAACAGTATCCAGTTACTGCAATTACTCATAAACTAATAAACATTATTAAGGAAGTCGTGATTGGTTAGTGATGCATATATAATATGTAAATTATGTAATACACAAAAATTTGTTATATATAAATATAAGTATTAATGATACATACAAATAAACAATCTGGCATAGGCCTAAGTTATATTTATTACAATAAGCTAAATTTATCTTTAAATGAACTAAACAAACACAATATTTTTAGCATCTTCACATTCTTGTTTCCACAGGCATTCAGTTGACAACTTAATATTGCACACCAATAATAGGAAAAGCTATAAAACCTAAAACATATTTCATATACCACAGCGTCATAATGAACCTTTGTGCTTAGACTTGCCACAAGTCTCTAATTTCTTGATTTTTCGTAGTATTAGCACACTTCGGAAAGCGCCACCAGCGTTAGTTTATGTCGAGAAACTTTTTTGATACGAATTAGAAATCCAAGAAAAAGTATACTATGAAACGCCAAGCAAATAGGTAATATGGAACGCCGTTGGTTTTTACTGCTTAAGACAAAATTTAGGGACTGGAACCCAGTCTACTTTCTGCTAAGCCCTGTCCCTGATATTGATGCTTAGGTCCCACAAAACAGTGTAAACCACAACGCAAATTTATGTAAACATGAGTGTTTGGGGCTTGCGTGTATTCATTTGTTAAATTTCATCTTTGGAGAAAAAACATCAAGAGCTCATGCTACACAGATCATTGTATTATGGTCTACACGGGAAACATACCAATAAATGGTAAGTACCAATATTGCCTATTTTACAATAAAATTAATATCAAAATAATAGTTTATAATAAATATACAGTAGCATCTTCTTATAGCATTAAAATGCTACAAGAATATCCCTGTACTTCATATCACTACAGTAAGTTATTTTTCGGTAAGAACTTCGCGTTTATGATTCGAGAATAGTTAATGTCACAAAACGTGATGGGGTCATGAAAGGTGGCAAAATGTAACAAACACAAAAATTCAACAACAAAGATCGAGAAAAAAATGGAATTATATAACAAATCTTGTATGTAATGTTCAGAACGTAATTCTATTTGATATACACAACTTTATATTGTCGCAAGGTGACAAATGTTTCCACAATATGTTAGGTGTCTTCTTAACTATTAGTCATTCCCTTCATGGGTGGTTGTCTGTATTTTTTATTTTTAAATAAAGATTTGTCAGTAAACAAAAATCTAGTTCATTTCACATTTCATATGTTATAACATGCAAGATTCTACCCGTAGAGATAGTTTATTTCACATTTCATATGTTATAACATGCAAGATTCTACCCGTAGAGCTTCACCACATAGTTTATTTAACACAACATGTGAAAACTCGTATGATGAATTTTATTATATCCCACAGTAGTTAGGAATTACTGTTAAATATTTAGACTATTTTAATACTAAACAGCTGCAATATCTAATACTCTGTCCACACTATCAAATTTATGTTACAAAAATACTTGAGATCAGCCCAAATATAGGCGTAATATGACATCATCATACCCAAATATGGACAAACCACAGATATTCTTAAAAGAATACTTGAGAGGGTGGACAGACTATTGCTCTCTTACTTTTAACTGAGTTGCTGATGATATAATCCTCTTAAAACAGCGAAAAACTAACTTTTTTTTTGTTTCTGGTTGAAAGTTAATAACTTATTTGATTCATTTAAATGAGCTATTCAAATTTTTAATTGAATTTTTGAGGTATTTTAAAAATTCTTCTGGCAAAAAATGCATCATAAAACTGTCTTGAAGAGGTCCTCACTGCATCCCTTTGTCTCTATCAAAACATTTTTTTTTGTACACTACATCCTGCAAAAACTAAAAACAATTTACAACAAATACTTTTATTCTTTAACAATAATAAATACATTACATTATGCATCTATGAAAAAATAAAGTACTTTCTAATTGGTTAGCTGCATTTGATTATTAGGACCCTTCCTTTAGGACGCCTCTATTAAAGGGACATCCCTATAACTTTTATGGCTGCTGAGCGAGGGAAAATATATCTTTTAGAAATACAGTGAACACTATTCAGGGGAAATCCCTATTAAACAATTTCTTGGCTCTGAATGTATTTTAATAGTGATTCTACTGTATCTTTTTAAAACCACTTAGCTATAATAGCTTCAATCATGGCAAAAATTATGCTCTAATGGCTACCCTATTTGAAATTGCATTTGAATAGAACATTAATTTCTGCAAACATAATTACTACTTTAAATTAGTACAGAATTTTGATATCACAGGCACAGCCTCCTGAGAATAATATGCTAATGAGGTTCATCCTGTATCGACTAAGAAAGCATTGCAGCCTAATTATTAGTGTTGCTAAACACTAGAACCATGAAATGCTATTAGAAGGATACTTGTGATCGACTCTGGCAAAACCAGCCGTTTGTAGGTAAAATTCAAAATTGAGTTTTTGGTATTTTTAGATTCTGCAACAAGTCTTCTTTAGAACAGTGTTTATTTAGATGGAAAGTGGTTGATATCAGCCATGAAGGTTTTGAGAAAACAGCTTCCAAAGACCCCAAAATCAATAGATTATTATTGAGATTTTTATTCAAAAAATATTTTTAATGTTAGATAGATTTGGTGATTGATAAAATGCAAAAACATGAAGATGGTCACAATTCTGATTTGTGTACATTTTTGTTGCTTGCGGGAAATTAGAAATTGCGACAGATGGTTTTGTCAGAGCCAGTCACATTTGATAAGTAATTACTTACAAGAATGCAGCAAAGCCGTAGACGTGTAGCGCACAAAAAAGGGACTGCCAAAGATTTGAGGATTCTGTTCATTATCCATTCTTATGAATAAACATCAGCAATTCTGTGTTATTTCTATTTTTGTATTTTACCAAAAATCTTGAAAATCTAGTGTCAGCAATTTTTTTTTTTTTTTTGCAAGAATATGATCTTTCCCCAAACGAGAGTTCAAAAATACATTTATGATGGTTCAAAAGGCCACGTTTTAAACTTGAAGCAATAATTGTTAATTTTAGCTCCATTGTAACCAGTGGCGAATTCAAGGGGGAGCCCAGCTGGCCTACCCCACCAACCCCACTCCGTAAATTTTTAAAAATTATAACAAAATAGAGAATAAAAAAAAATTATATTCAAATTTAAGCATGAGAGTGCCATTTCTGGCCATCCATTGGTGCCATAATCATAATTTTTCTAACCTCAGCCCCAACCAGGGTGGGGCTGGGGTTGGTCAACCCTCTACCTGTGATAATCCTTCCCTGAGCCCCCTCTATAACGAATTCCTGGATCCGCCACTGGTTACCACTTTGCCAACCACACTGTATGGATTGAGTACTGGTTGGCAAAAACCCTACAATTGGGCCTAGGCCCTGTAGTTAAAAAAAAAATTAATAACACCCAACCTTGATTTTCAGAGCATTGTGATTGAGCAACACAACAAATTTTCTGGCCTAAACTTCAAATTCATTGAAATGAAAATAGTGATTTTCAGTTTCGAATAGCATCCTAGCTTGAAAAACCGACTGTATGAATTAGTACTCATGAACTGAGCAGAATTAATTACCTAAGGTCAGTTTTTATTTATTCTCCTCTACTTGCAATTCAAATCCCATATTAGTTTGCAAGGTTAGAGGATCATAGCTGGGGCACAATCCAATGTTGGTTTGTTTTAGTGATAATTGAGCCATTACCATAACATACAATTAAAGCTTGTGAATGAAGAGTTTCCGATGCTCACTTGCTCATAGCTTTTAGTTCCTCCTTGGTTCGTAAGTAACCTGGATACAGATGGTAGAGTACAAAGAGGGCGACGTCAAGTGACCCCCAGTAGGATGTGTGCGATGTCAAAGCTGAGATATAACCATTGCTAAAGTTACTTTCTTTCAACTCAAAATCAAGTCGATGCTCAAGTTCTGTTATAAAGAGAGAAAATTTTAGGTATTTCGATAATATAATCATAATAATGCCAAAGATTTATATGGCAGCAATTCCAAATCAATGATCAAAGTTGCTGAGCGTCATCATCCATTCTTGGTCGCTGGATAACATATGACAAACCAACCCCCGACCTCAAGGTTTAGCATCCAACAGGGTCGGCCAGAATTTTTCAAACTAGATGTGTATAAGAGACAGATATATTCAGAATAGATAAGTGAGAGTGCTGATTTCAACATATGCTTTGAAATTTTAAAATTTAGTGGCAAAATGGGGGGGGGGGCCCCTACTGGATCCGCCCCTGTCCAAGACACAACCAATGCACCAACCACTTTTCTATGATGCTCTGTCCACACTATAAATAACATTTTCTGTGAAAAATATCTTTGAGTTGCCCAGGTACTGTACCCATGTACTGTACCCATATAACACCCTTTTGTTCACAGATTTATCTAGGCGCTTTACATAAAAGCCCTTACTATGGTGTAAAATTCGTCATCCCTGTATTTCTATGTCTAAGTTTCATGGCCAATCTAGTCAAAGTTCAATCAAATTCCATTATAGGTTTGACATACCAACATGATCAAACTCGTGAGTATCATCCTCAGGTGTTTCTACTATAGGTGGTGGGGGTTCCATGTTTTCGATCCTCATCAACACTTTCTCCAGGTCTTCTAAAGCTTCTCTCTCTGCAGGCTTCTCATCAGGTTTCGACCATCTAGCCATGATGCTGCCAAAACCACCTGAGGAGATTTTGGATTTTATCAAGCAACAATTATAAGCAGTAAACATAAGCAAAACTCACTCATACATCCTTTGCTGTACCTGTGGTAGACCCAAGCATATGGTATATAGCAGGAATTCATATTCAATTTGCTTTGATATATAAAAATAATGACACAGATCCCCACCTGGTAGTGTATTCAATAAGGACCTTTCCAGTGTGTCAATCAATATTAACAATTAACCAATCAGAACATTTATTTAATAGGCAGGCCAGGAAAACAAATAGGGAGGTTCAATGATTATATAAGGAGGAGCTAGCTCGCATGAGGTGATTTTTAACCACACCCTCGATACACCACTGGGAAGGGACACTGATGGGACTGAACTGATAGTTGGAGATGAGATAAAGTGAGATTGATGGATTAATGGAAGTTAGATTATTCAAACTTGATAGCATATTGCAATGAGTAAGAGGTGGTGAAAGTGGTGGGGTAAGAGGAATATATGGAGTTTAACTAGATTATTGTATAAGTTGGGAGGACGTAGATGAGGCAGGAAAGAACCATTCAATAGTTTGAGAGATATCCTATGATAAAAAAAAAAAACTACCATCCACTTGTATAAAAAATCATTAAAAATGATGATTAAATGCTTCATTTATATGCTGAAACGTTTCAGCTCCAACACAACATTTTGCATTAGATCCCACCGAGCACTTAGATGCCCCTGGACCTCTGATTCTCACAAAACCAAGCTGAGTCCTGATATGGGCCTGATACTGAGTTGGAGAGGTGCTGGATGAAGGTTTAAGTGTATAAATGCATGTTCTCTTGTTCACATTTATAGTATAATCGGAGGATGTATGTGAAGCAGAGGAAGATTTAGGCCGGGTTAATAGAAAGTATATATTAATAAGTTGGAATCTGTGGATGAGATGGGGTAATATTAGAAAAGACTAGGATATGGAGGTTCTACTCTTCTTGACAAAATGCATAAAGTGGCTATGATGAGTGCAGGACTTTGGGTTGAATAGAAATTCAATAGTAATTTTAATGGCTGGGAGGTGGTGTATGGTTCAAAGGGGATTGCCACTCCTCACATCAAGTTTGTTTAGCATTCCAGCACACACCGGTAACCATTTATACTCCTGGGTACAGGGAGACAAATGCTAAACACTTCCATTATTTCTACTATTATTGATAGAATAAGTAAGAGAATGTGTCTATGATGAGTGCAGGACTTTAGGTTGAATAGAAATTCTACCATCAAATGTGATGGTAATTTTAATGGCTGGGAGGTGGTGTATGGTTCAAAGGGGATTGCCACTCCTCACATCAAGTTTGTTTTGCCATTCTAGCACATACCGGTAACCATTTATACTCCTGGGTACAGGGAGACAAACGCTAAACACTTCCATTATTTCTACTATTATTGATAGAATAAGTAAGAGAATGTGGCTATGATCAGTGCAGGACTTTAGGTTGAATAGAAATTCTACCATCAAATGTGATGGTATACTCCTGGGTACAGGGAGACAAATGCTAAACACTTCCATTATTTCTACTATTATTGATAGAATAAGTAAGAGAATGTGTCTATGATGAGTGCAGGACTTTAGGTTGAATAGAAATTCTACCATCAAATGTGATGGTAATTTTAATGGCTGGGAGGTGGTGTATGGTTCAAAGGGGATTGCCACTCCTCACATCAAGTTTGTTTTGCCATTCCAGCACATACCGGTAACCATTTATACTCCTGGGTACAGGGAGACAAACGCTAAACACTTCCATTATTTCTACTATTATTGATAGAATAAGTAAGAGAATGTGGTTAGATCAGTGCAGGACTTTAGGTTGAATAGAAATTCTACCATCAAATGTGATGGTAATTTTAATGGCTGGGAGGTGGTGTATGGTTCAAAGGGGATTGCCACTCCTCACCTCAAGTTTGTTTTGCCATTCCAGCACATACCGGTAATAATTTATACTCCTGGGTACAGGGAGACAAATGCTAAACGCTTCCACTATTTCTACTATTATTGATAGAATAACTAAGAGAATGTGGCTATGATGAGTGTTAAGATTGTGGGTTGAATGGAGATACAACAATTTTATGGGTTGGAGGTGGTATATGAAGTGGAGTGAGATTGATTGGCAAATGAATGTTCCATGAGAGTCTCACCTGATAATGTGTCCGACAATTGAGATGAGAGTGAGTAGGAAGTGGAAGATGAGGCGGGAGGAGATTGAGGGGCCAGCGGAGGTTCCATTGATGTCTCGCATCGGCCATCCAATGATGAAGCCTCTAAGAAATGATGTACAAATGATTGATTACCATGATGTTTTTATGAACTAAAATCCAAACAAATAGTGTACAAAATTGCTACTCATATGAAAATAAGCCTACACCAAAAAAAAAAGTAAACAATTTTAATTATCATTATTATTACCAATTACCATAATATTAGAGATACAATTTAGTGCATTTATACTAATAAACAAAGTTAAAAGAAAAAAATATGAAAAAAAAATGTAAAAATTAACAAACACCTGAAGATGAGCTTCTACGAGAAGAAGTGTCTGACATATTTGACTTTGGTGACATCTCTTTTCCGCCATTCTTGAGAACTTTTGGGTACACTTTAGCTTGAATCTGATCATAGGGCACTTGCTTGGAACTTTCCCAGCGGTGGATTTGTAGAGGCATAATGGTGGTGTAGTGCTTTAACAGGAGGGGTTCAATCCGGTAGGCCTGGAAAATTTATATAAATTCCAGTTACATCTAACATGTTACCACTTTGTGTAGATGGAGTCTTACTGATATTGATAATCAAATCATTTATATTTCTCTGAATACAAGGTGGTCTGGTAGATAGCTACTGGACTTAACAGAAAAATAGTACAAAATATCAACCAGAGAGCCAAACAACAAAGAATTATTATATATTACTTATATTACTTGACACTGAAATGTTAATCAATATGTGTACATACAATCTATATATATTTTCAGAAATTTTTAATTGAATTTATTACAGTTGCTTTTGGATAATCATTGAATTAAATTTCTAGTAAAACTGTCATCCGACAACCAGCTTTTATAACCAGCTACCGTAAGTTGATTCTATGGGACCAAACGAATCTTGTAAAATATATTACATACAGCAAATATCTTGTTTGCGAAAATTAATTTATCATTGTCAAAATTACTTCAGCTTGCTCAAAGTACTTGATGAACCATGACCTCAGTTGATGTATGAATCACTTAAGCCCTGACAAGACTATGAAATTTTATTTCATACATACATACATGTAACATACATGTGACATGCCTAAATATGGTCATGATGACATCACTTCATGACCATATATAGGTACATCATGACTATATATGGGTACATCGTGACTATATATGGCACATCATGACTATATATGGGCACATCATGACTATATATATGGGCATATTATGACTATATATGGGCACATCATGACTATATGGGCACATCATGACTATATATGGGCATATCATGACTATACTGTATATGGCACATCATGACTATATATGGGCATACAACAATTTTTATATTAAGAAAATTTGATAGTGTGAACAGACCATTAGATGAGGAAAGCACTCACCACAGGATCTGATGGATGGTAAATGTTGAAGAGACGTTTACAGGCTCCGTGCGGTAAGATGTGGTCGATTGACCCATTCCCATGAGGGCGTATACCCCGCATTCCAAGAAACACTGACAGAGGTGACCCGACACAGAACAAATTCTCAACCTTTGAAAGTCAAACAACATACAATAATTACCAAGTGATTCAATCAATACATATGGATCAATAATTTGTTTACTGATTAAACACTTAAATGTACATCAATCAATTTATTATTCTAACGTGAGAGTTCTAGTGCCAAAATTCATCCTTCTATGATAAAAATGAGAGTATCCTTAGTGAAGCAGCCAATCAACAACTGAATTGTTACAATCTGCGTCCCACTGAGAACATATTTCATTGTTTTAAATTATCAAATCATTTTTTTATTGATCGCTTGAGTGTCTTTCTACATATAATCAAGAGAATGTACCTTACAACAAGATTAAGAAATGAGAATCAAATATAGAACACAATTGTACTCTGATACAGCCAATCCTGCCCTGTGCGATATTTGTTGGACCAAGCGGCCAGTTTGTTTTGTTTAGATACACATTCAAGCATTTTGTCTCAATCATTACTGGCTGACAATCATATGATAGTGGGTTCACCTCCATACTGTCCATATTTCCTTACTTGCACAACTGGATTGTCTTTTATCTCTCATTCTTTCCCACAAATATAAACTGGTATCTGAACAGGGCAAGACTATTATCCTTCAGGGGGTGATGAATATTGTCAAGAAGAAAAAGTTGATTACAGGTAGAACAAAATGCTCTCAATCCGCAAAGTGTTACCTTAAATATGAGCTTAGGAGCATTCTCATAAGCTGCAATCTGATTGGTTGCAAGGAGCTTTTCTTCAAGTTCCACAACCCTAGGAAGTACAGAAAAGAATAACCCATGTTTAGTTAAAAAAAAGAGCCTGTAAATCACAGATGACCTTTAACTATCAACTAAAAATTCATCAGCAGATTTAATCATGTTTAGTCAGGGAATTGTATGCATAAGTTAGAAGAGTTGACCAGGCTTACTTTAAGCCCTGGTGTGAAAGCTGATAGTAGGTCTGTATGCAAGTTGATTGATGTGCACTAAGGTTTCCTTGTATGCATACAGAAGACAATACCAAACTCAATTAATATGTATCACTTAGTTTTGTAGTTGAAGATACAAATAAAATATTTATGAAATGAACTTTGAGAAATGCCAATGCCATAACGTCCCACTAAACATTGTATTCTAGCACAGATATTAGGCTTCATAAATCTTGGTTGAATGACTTATTAACATCATTCTTCCCGTGAACACAATTTTCTCCTAGTGGATGACATACAGTATTAACATTCTAAATATCTGGCTTTATCCATCATTCCATGCATGTTAGAAATGTGAATATTGAAAGATGGATATCTTTGATTACCACTGATACCCACAATTACATCTGGACAAGCTTGCTGGTTATAATTTTTCTATGTGTGACTACCTTTTCAGGTTACAAGACAGCACACTGAAGCGGCAGGTGTTGAATATTAACTGTATGTTTACTTGAAGCACGCCCTCTAGGAATCAGTGTGTTACACGTAGCTCACAAAGTATGTCGGTAAATATCAATAAAGAATCCTAGTAATCTACACAGTTTTACTGGCCTTTCATTAATCTACAGCAAGTTCTCAATTGTCCTTACCTTTTCCTAGCTTTGGCTAATTTAACAGCAAGTTCCTTGTGTGCCGGTCCAACAGTTTCTAAATCGGGGTGCTGGCCTTGCTCATGTGACAGATATTGGTCGTACAAGTGAATCGGGTTCCACCCTGTTAATATGTCATACGTAATCACAGACCCAAGGGAATGAGCAAAGATCGAAACTTTTCCATTGTTTGCTTCGAACCATGGATTTCGATGGCAGAATAGATTGTACAGTCTATTGAGCTCCTCCTGAAGTTTCTTAAGTATCTGTATATAAAAACAAGGGAATTTAACAGAGATTTTTAGACAGGCAAAACGTAGTGGCGTAACAGAGAATTTGAGGCCCCTGGATGAAACTTTGTCCAGACTAAAAAACTGTTGTATGCCCATATATAGTCATGATGTGCCTATATATGGTCATGATGTGATGTCATCATGACCATATTTAGGCATGTCACATATTTTTGTCAAATAAAAATTTGATAATCTGGACAGGGTTTAAGGATTCTTCTTGGGTCCTACTGCCAGATGTTTTTGAAATTTGAATACTGTATTTTGATTATTTTTTACATGTCATTCTCTTTAAGGGGGCCCTGTCCGGCCAATTTGGGAACCATGGTCCAGGCAAAAAATTAATTTCCCAGGTCTGTACACATCCGGAGCCCATGGCTTTAGCCTGTAAGAGTTCACACTTGTGTTACCACTGAATCATAGCACTGTTTTCAGCTTACTGGCAAAACATGTTTACCGTATTCTGTGTGTTGAGATGATAAGGTGAATCAAACTTACCTCAGATCTGTACAGTGGACTTTGGTAGTAGAGAAGATCTAGACCAGTGCTGTTAAGAACTGCTCGTAAATTCTTCAACCTATTGGGCGTAAGACCATCAATGAGACCTCCGTCCAGGAAAAGAGATGACCTCCATTCTACCGGAAGAAACTCCACCCTATCTGTCGAAACTATACTGGTTAGATCTGGAAATAGCTTCTCTATGATTTTATTGGCTCCTCGTCGTAAACTAAAACAAATGATTTTGACTTGTCAGAAAATTCTGAAATATGGTTTAAATACTTATAGTAAATATCAAATCATTTAAACCAAATTGATTATAATAATCTTTATGAGGAATTTACAGTAGTGTCTGCATTAAAATACAAAACTGGTAACCTTAAACACACTTCCGTTACATAATACTGTATATAGAAACCAAAATAATGTGACACTCAATGAACTATAGAAAATACATACACTGTAGGTATAATCATAACAATTATTAATACAGTATAACCTGGAAAAAGAAAGAATTACTTGACATTTTCTTTACATATAGCAAAATTCAAATACATACCAATCTCTCCAAATCCTACTAAAATTAGAATACAAAATGTTTACTTCTGTGACAGTTGACCTAGTTTAAATATCCTAATACACAACCCAATTCCATCAAATATGCATTTTTACAATTTTTTCTAGAGCACTTGGTCGCAATTTAATCATAACTAAGATATTATACGCCACACGTTAGAGTTTAAAACATACATCAGAATTCCTGCTGCTGCATATTTAATATTTTTAATTTCAAACAGCAGTATTCCATTTTCAAAAGCAACATCTCCGATATTAACACTCCAGGATAAATTATATAAACGATGAATAATAAAAGACAGAGAAATTGTTATATTTCACAACTGTCAATTTTATGATATAATAAACTAGAATTAATATATTAAAGACATTTGTACAAAAATGTTGACATTTTAATGGAATACAGTGATAGGGGTACGCAGATGTACTTCAAACACTGCAATAATAAAATAATAATAATAGCACTAACACGGACTTAAGGGGAATATCTTTTGTGTTATTTTCCCCTTTCCACTTTCTCCGTTGTCTAGTTCTCCTTAAGGTAGGTTTTAGTAATATAATAATAATTATAATAATAATAACAATAATAATAATAATAATAATAATAATAATAATAATAAAAAAAAATAAATAAATAAAAATAATAATAATAATAATAATAATAAGTGTATTGCACATTGCCCTTATGCACTTTAAAATGTCAGTCTTCAAAAGCACAGTGACATATGATGACAAGGTCTATGGGATTCACATTATTATATACAGTAGTTCATTGATAAACCACCGATGGAACAATTACTGTGCTCATCTCCCTGTAGAATATAGTATTGGTATTCAAACCTTTCTGGGTGGAAACAGTGGCAGCAAATGTAAGAGAATAAAATTTTCTCCCGCCAGACACTCCTAATATAACATTCCTGCTGTATGAAACTTGAGGTCATCAGACTAAAAGTATCAATTTGCTGGTACAAGCAAAGATATTGTGATTGCAGTTCATAATTGTAATGTGGTCTGAATTATTTCGATATTTTGTTAACTTGGAGTGGAGTGGAGAATAGCTCAGTGGTTAAGATGCTTGCCTTCTGACCCCAAGGTCCTGGGTTCAATTCCTGTAACAGCAGGAATTTTTCTCACGACTAAAAAAACAGCTTCAGTCCCTAAGCCTCATAAAGATATGACAAAGATATTGTGATTGCAGTTCATAACTTTAATGTGGTCTGAATTATTTCAATATTTTGTTGACTGGAGTGGAGAATAGCTCAGTGGTTAAGATGCTTGCCTTCTGATCCTAAAGTCCTGGGTTCAATTCCTGTCACAGCTGGAATTTTTCTCACCACCAAAATCAACTTCACTCCCAAAGCCTCATAAAGAGATTTAGTTTCTAAAGCATCATTCTCATCCTGTAACTGGCAAGTGTACTTGCTGTTGGATGTGAAGGAAATAAAAAAAAAAAAAAAATTTATTTTGTTTGTTAAGTTTTACCTATTTAAACCATAAAAACTCCCCCACTTCATTCCATCCAGGTGTTTTACTCTGGAAATTGACTGGAGGCCCTAGGGAGCATACAATATGCCGTAGCCAGGATTTTCAAACAGTGCAGGACAATATCAGGGTGGACTAGCTTTACACGTATTGGCAAATAATGTGGAAATTTTCTTAATTTTATGCAAAAATATGAAAAATGTGGACTCGCTTATTTAAAATTTCACCAATTTTAGGCTAAATATGTGGAAATCTGGACCCATTTTTCAAAAGTGAACTCATTTTAAGCATAAAAATGCATAATTTGGACAAATTTTTTAAAATGTGGACCAATTCTATTATGGACCCATTAGAAAAATTGTGTGGGACTGTCCCAACTGTCCCAATAGCTGGCTATGGCATTGGGAGCATATTGATTTGTACCAATCGGATATGTTGGACCTCTTGTCAGCAACTTTCCAGAGCCACCATGGTGCAAACAAAGTAGATAAAGTGCCTTGACAAAAAAGACACACCCGGCCAGTGGCCAGTCTTCAACTTGAACCCTTTAGATTCAACAACTGAAATCCAAATCCAATGCATCACTTGCTTGAATAGATAACAGAAATTGGTGCTCTCCCCAATCACTTTTACAATCGCAGGCCATCAAATATAATTAAGCAATATTATGACGGTCCCTATGGGCTGTGATGTCGTTTGATGAGCCCATGAGGTTTTCGTCATACCTGCACGTATATTTATGCTATTAATAAAGGCAGAGCAGCGTGAAGGTCTGTAGTTCATGGAAGATTATGGAAATCAATAATATCCATCCATTAAATCAGCAATTTCATTAGGTTTATGGTACATGCAACTCATCAACTCAATCCATCTAATTCACTCTGTGGCATATATACTGGGATGGGGGTGGGGAGAGGGAGGGGAGAAGATTAGGAAGAGCTTATGCTCCCAGGTTTCCCCTCACTAGAAATTTGCTGATCAAACCCCTCTCACAGGTTTCATCAGATCTCTCAATTTAAGGAAAGTTTGGGCCAAGAGCACTTGGATGGGTTACTGCTCCCTTGGAATTTATTGGTTAATGAATTGTATTTTTAATACTTATTAATGATGATGGTGTAATTTGGTGTTTTTGAATGTATTTGAATTTTTTATTGTTTGTAATCTTGAATTTTTTTACTACAATAATTTCAGACTGGTTCTGCTTTTTGTATTTTACGATATACCAGAATAAATAATAAATAAATATTGTTTCAGCAAAAGTTTCACTCTAGCTAAAAATCATGTCATATCACCTTATTTTGCAAGCTGCAAATTTCTCTCAATAATTCATTTTGCCTTCCCCCCACCCCAAAAACAACCATTTAGCTTTGTGCCCTCTAATCAGCTAACTCAAATACACCTACATTCAGCATTGAAGAAAATAAAATTATAAATTACGAATGAATGACTAAACTTAAAATCTATCCCATAATTTTGTATTTGTTTATATTAAAAATAGACTAATATGGGGTCAGGGAAAGAGCTGGTTGGATCGTACTGGTTAAAATGATAATATTTAAGATTCCCTTTTAATCTTAAAACTTAATCTCAGCTGCTTATGAAATAGTCCTTATAAAAGACAAAATATTAATTAGGATGTGCTACTGGCCTAATGATAGATTGCTTGTTAAAATGTCGTCAAATAATATCCATCCATTAAATCAGCCATTACATTAGGTTTACATGGAGGAAATAAAGATATTATATTACTAAGTAGTAAATAATAATACAGAAATTTGTACTGCTCCTTTTGTAACAAAACACATGAACAGGTATCATATCCTTATGTTTATCTCTGACTCGATGTAAATATTAACAGGATATTTATGGCTTATTGTCGTCAAATAATATCCATCCATTAAATCAGCCATTACATTAGGTTTACATGGAGAAAATAAAGATGTTATATTACTAAGTAGTATAATAATAATACAGAAATTTGTACTGCTCCTTTTGTAACAAAACACATGAACAGGTATCATATCCTTATGTTTATCTCTGACTCGATGTAAATATTAACAGGATATTTATGGCTTAACTCTTTTTAAAATTATAATAACATGTGCTATATAAATTATATTATATTACATGCTATATTATAAACATATTCTCTTATTTATATACTCTGTAGTAATTATATACAATGCACAAAATTCAAATAAAGTTTTCAATACATTTCAATTCACTATGGAGTGGATACAGTTTACATTCAGTGGCTTAGCATATCGAGGCATTGAATTTCAGATAAGATTGCAGATCAATGGTTAGCGGTAATATAGACAAGACAATCAATAGCGTGTTGTACAATTGACACGGTGAAGACTGGGCCCCGAAGGACCAGATCAAGCATGTTAATTAACATGGAATAGCACTTGCAAAAATGGAAGGCAAAAAGAAACCGCCTACGATTAATACCTCATTAATCATAAATTATGGCATTAAAATAAAATCAAATAATCTATTCCGTATTGGGGATGATTATTGAGGATAATATATTGATGACATGTTGATAATTTCTTATGTTGGTGTGTAAAGAATGCATATTATAATAATATAGTAATAATGATAATTATAATCAATGGATAGATGGATTTATTTGGTCGGAACACCAAGGATAACCCATGAAAGTCTGAAAAAAAATTATTTCCAGTGGCAGTACACCGGGAGACAATCCCCTACTCTTTTCCTAAGAGTGTACTGCCTTCTTTAAAGTGCACATGGCCAATTTACACACGGGATCAACGGCTTAAACGTCTCATCCGAAAGATGGTGCGCTTTTGAAACCTGCCTTTCGGTCCTCCAGCTGAAACAGCTGAAAAACAACAACCGAGAGATCTCAACGGTTCAGCGTGCACACAGTGACTATCACCAGTTTAGCCAACTGAGCTAGCTTCTCTCACAATAAAAAACAAAAGCATAACTACTGTAAATAGATTAAAGCATGAAGATTTTGCAAGAATATATTGTGTAATAATAGTCCAAAGTTCAATACATCAGCTAATCAATTAGCTCTAAGTAAGTTCCGACATTTTATCTAAACTGATGTGTGTCATCTGATGTCGCAAGTGCAGTACAAATATCACAAGTTCACTGTCAACATATGACAGGTATGAATCCATCATTGTACAATTTTCAATTATGATATTTTTTACATGATTTTGCTTTGTTTAGTAAATCCACTAACTGCACATAATTCCTTTTTCACTTAACCAAATGGTTCACTTCTTCTAATGTATAAGCCTGCCTATAATTCTAAGTCATTTTATGAACATTCATTGTTCTCAGATATAGCCACACCACAAAATTTTTATAAAAACACTCCTCCTCCTATTTAAACCATAGTGAAACACCACCTCTTCTTTGGATATAACCATGCCTTAAATCTGAAGGTATCTCCAAAAATACCCCCTTCCTGTCAGGTATAAGGCTACACCATAAAATTCTTTAAAACAATTCTGACCAAAATTCATCACTGGATGCAATAATAATGGTTCATTCTTTTTTTATAAATTTAGAGTGAAAAATCCTTCTGACATAGCTTAAGTTATTCAACACTTAACCTCTTATCAGGCCCCTTAATTTTAATTCAGTGTAATGTTGTACATATCAGCATTGTCATTATTATTAAAATCTACACCTAACATTTACAGTGTAAATTCCTGAACATTCTCTAAATAATGTGCTGAAAGGTATAAATGTTTGAATTACTAAAATATGTTGAAATTGATAGCCGACTCTGGAGATCATGTATTAGAATACAGTATAATCAATTAGTCAAATAAATAAAGGTTAATTCACGACTCTAAAGGTCAAATACTTATAAGCCCCCCAGGACCATCATAACATTCCCTAGAGTAATAGGAACTGTAGAAATTAGCACAGAATTACTCATAGAAAGACATTTTAAGGTTAATACAATCATCAGAAAATGCACTACAAGCAGACATTATTATTATGATTAACAGAGAATTCACTGGAAATGTCATTTATTCTTGGAACTTGCATGCAAAGAACTTTATATTCCTTGGTAGCTGATATAATTCCATTTTTTCTATGATCTATAGAATATAATTCTTGGATCCTAAAATCAACAACAACCTCTAATAGTTGGATTTGTAGAGCGCATCATGCGAAAAAAACTCTATGCGCTTGGTGATTGAGCTCTTTGATTTGGACATTTTGAGAAAAAAGAAAGTTGAAGTTACTGTATTTTATGAAACTAAAAAAACCTACTCCTTAAACTAAGGCATAACGATAATATAATAATGCATACTGTAATAATAATGCTCTTTGTAATAATTTGTATTCCTCCAAAATATATAAATTGAAATACTGTTAAATAATAAAAAGCATCCAGTGTACAGTCCAATATACCTTAAATATAACAATATCATTACTATGATATGATAGATTAACTACTCTTAGATTTTAGTTCTATGACTAAAGCTACGTTCACATCAAGCCCAGATCCGGTCCAGAGCCCGGACAAAAAATTGTGAGTTGCTACGTTTTTTTAACGCTGCGTTCACATCGCGCACGGAACACGGTTACTCGGGTTAAGTCCGTATGCGTTCTATTGGTTCAAACTAAGCAAGCTTGTTGCTGATTGGTCCTAGGAAAAAAAATAACATAAGATTTCACGATACAAATGGTTCTCAGATCAATAGGTCCGGATCCGGAGTCTGGATTGGAAATCGTACGAATTTGATGTGAACAGTCCTTCTTTACCACTAAACCAATTTTTCACGATTTTTTGTCACCGGACCGCTTTGATGTGAACAGCTTTGATGTGAATGTAGCTTAATGCTATAATTAACAATTATATAAATAAATTGTCATTTCTTATAGAGTCTACTACTTACTCTCTGTGCTGAGAATATAAAGATTTTATTATTCCAACTAAAAAGCAACATTAGAATAGATAAGTTTAAAAAATTAGAACTGTTTTAATTAAAGACAAATAGAGTGACTTACTCTGAACAACTGCGTGTAATATTTGATGCCTCCATGGTCTGTCCAACACCATGTACTACTAACACTAGATGTGATATTGGTGGTGGCTTATCCTCTAGCCTTGCCTCCTTAGGGTAGCCTCTTTGCAAACGGTAACCACTGGTAGATGCTGCAAGAAAATAAATTTAAACAGGAATCATCACAACATTGACAACCACTATATAAAAAAACTTTAAAGTGCAAAAATCCACTACAGTTCTGCCCAAGGCGCCACAGATAAAGGAACCAAAATTACCGTAAAAATGCAACCATCCCCACTATATAAAAAAAGTAAGACTTTAAAGCGCACAAATCCACTACAGTTTTGCCCAAGGCGCCACAGATAAAGAAACCAAAATTACCGTAAAAATGCAACCATAAAGTAAAACACCACATGCATCACCACACCATTTACAGGTAATAGACCTTTCCGGAGTGTCAATCAAACTTAACAACTGACCAATCAGAACACGGCTAGAGATACGTGCATGTCTCTCAAACACACGTGCTGTCCCACAAACGCACGTGTTTGCGTATGTTTTAACACTGCCGTCTTATGGGACCTTAGCAACAATATCCAAGGGGCGGAGCTTAGCGGAAAGGTCCATTTGAAGCACAGGCGCTGGCCTACATTTTTTTTGTTTTTTGAGTCACAGTAAGTTGCACACACTACCTAAGTGTGTACAATTAAAGTGGAGTAGCAAAGGGCCTGAGGCCACCGGTTAGCTCATCTTGTGGCTCTACAATCTTGGATGCTTGAGCCACGTAGGGCTCCATATGCGGTACGGGGATGCTGCAGTCACTCTCACGTTTTTGACACCCTAATGATGTTTAAGGCAATAATTTTTATACCTTGTTTTACTAGCCAGCCACATGTCAATAATGATTATTCGGAATAAAAATTGAATAATAATTTTTTCCTCAGAATTAAATATAAGATTTCTCAGTTAAATTACTGAACTGTTTATATCGCCACATCACATTCTATATATTATTATGAAGTGTTCTCAAGCAAGTGCAAGAGTGCACCCTTAATCTGCAAGAAAGCTTGATTCTACAAGCACAACCACCAGTCAAAATATTAAAACTGAAAAATATACCAACAGTAGTGTGTGTGTAAGTGCTTCCTTATGTAAAGAAAGACCTGTGAATATATTCTACATCATTATCACAATTGCATATTTTTAGTATGGTAAACTAATTTGTTACTTTCAATTGTTTAAATCTTAATCTTGTGTCTCACCTTTTGCTTTTGCAATGTGGTATCCTGTTCCTGTTCTGTACAAATGTCATTTGCATATATGTACACGTACAAACTTAACTGACCGATTGATTGATTGATGCCCGTACTTTCACTTTCTAGTACTCAATGAAATCCCACACACACAATTTTTGTTCTCATCATGACTAAAAAAATTCCACTCATGAACCCCATATTGAGACATTATTTTTACATTATTCCACTCATCAACCTCATATTGAGACATTATTTTTACATTATTCCACTCATCAACCTCATATTGAGACATTATTTTTACATTATTCCACTCATCAACCTCATATTGAGACATCATTTTTATATTATTCCACTCATCAACCTTATATTGAGACATTATTTTTACATTATTCCACTCATCAACCTCATATTGAGACATTATTTTTACATTATTCCACTCATCAACCTCATATTGAGACATTATTTTTACATTATTCCACTCATCAACCTCATATTGAGACATTATTTTTACATTATTCCACTCATCAACCTCATATTGAGACATTATTTTTACATTATTCGCTAGCATTTTACTACCAGGCTACTACTATTATAAATATAGGCCTAGGCCTACATAGCCTAGGTACGGTAGGGACACGAAACAAGTTTTGAAGTTGTTTAAATCACGATCAAATTCCAAATTTCGCTGAACGCGTTTAACATTTTGCCATTCACGAGCAGTCAGCCATATGAAAAGGGGAGGAGTTAACTTCCAAACGGAATAAACGGCTCGAACGACAACCTTCCAAACGGCATTTCACAGACGCGTTTGGGAGCTTGTCATATAACAATAGTAAACGTGTTTGACCCGTTTCTGTCGTTGGGGATAATTTATAGATCGCGCCTTAGTCCTTTAGGCTTTTGTCGTTGGAATTCTGATCAACTACTGATCCCCTTCAATAAACCATTAATATTGAAAATTTCAAATTTCAATGAACAGGAATATGAATGTAGTATTAACTACAATGTGTATAGACTTCATCGATGATTATAAAAACAAATATTTTATAATAATCAGAAATGTTCATGTATTATTATACCAGTATTATTATAATTATTATTCAGTGGAAAATCTATTTCAATAAAAAAAAAAACTGAATTGCAAAAAACGGTTGAATTACAAAATACTCATAAAACACAAAATGAGAGGCGTCACTGGTAATGAGATAAGGCAGAAAAGTTTTACAATTCCAATGACAGAATTTAGAATTAAGTAAAATATCACAAAGTTGGAAGAATATTACTATTTCAATCATAAACAAATATAATAGCTAACATGAAAATAATGATGATGAATAAAAATCAACAACAAATAACTTTAAAAGAGGAGTATGATATAGGATTCTATTTATAAGGCATACATTTCATTCATGTGACTTTCTTGTACTGTACATTGTTGACACGAACTAAACAACACTAAAACCACATGACCAAAGATCATAGGCACCTCACATTTCCTGAAGAATCCGACTATAGCAGAAAATTCAGTCTCTGTTGGTTAAATTCTATGTTGAGCTGAAAATCATATGCTAATCAGTCCATTAACAAAAAGAAACACTAACAATGACATCAACTATAATAATGATAATAAGTTTGACTATGATTGATGATGATATTAATGGCAATCAAATGCCTACAGAAGCTGCTGTTGTAGTTATAGTCTGTGTATTCAGAGCTGCTAGGTAGCCATCTAACTATGCTCCTGGGTAGCAGGGGCCAGGGATGTACTGTAGTTATGGTGGGTGGAGGTGGATGGGGGCCACCCAGCCTTGAGCTTTTCCACCCAGTCTAAAGCGAATTTCATGGCCCTCTACCCACCCTTATTAACCCACTGAATCATTTAGAGTTTATTTAAAGTTTACTAATGTTATCATGCACCCACCCTACAAATGTCTACCACCCACCCTGAGTGGTGTATCTAGAAGGCTTAAAATGGGTGGAGCTGATGAGGAGGCGCAGCTAATAAGGAGGTGCGAAGGTGGACTTGGATCAATGATTAAGTGAGAAGCGCTAGGTTGGAAAATAAGGTGACTTTTTACTACTTAAATGTGATTTTTTGGCATCGAATATTCTCAATGAGTGGGGTTGACTGGGGGGGGGTGCACCTCTTATCTGAGATTAATCAGTGGACCTTTTGGTTTATGGAAAACATTCATATAGTATTTATAAATTCCATATCCTATGGAAATTATGAATATTCTTATTAAAACTAAAATGCATCTAATGTTATGGCAAATAAGGGATCACCTTTGGCAATAGAGTACTCTGCTTATTAAATACCATTTGATTACATACAGTTTCTTAATGCAATTGAGGCTGTGTAACCATTGGAAAACGTGACAAGTCTCATGGTTAATTTGCAAGGGTAATTTCATTTTTAAGGGTGTGCTTAATGAAGGGGAATTAAATGATGTAACCTCATAGCATATTTAATATGAATATATAAACTCCATTTAATATGAATTATTAATATCATACAGTACCAGTAATATATAATGTAAAATTAGAAAAAAATTGGAATATTAAATACAATATGAAAGTAATAATAGTTACTAATAATATACAAATCAATATTAGCATAATAATAATGACATTAATAATAAAATGTAGTTAATAAATATACTGTATTTAGAAATAATTTATAGATTATAATTTCGATAATCATCATAATTTCATTCATGAAAGTAAGCTCTAATTTTGTTAGCATAAAGCCTGGTTTCAATGGAACCACTACACTGTTGCTACAGTGTTTTCAGTGCAATTGTGCTGCGTAAAAGTCCCCGACGCAATCGCAAAGGCTCCTCAATTCGACCGACTAATAAGCATTACTGAAGGCTGTCAGCAATAGCATTGTATGGAAACCAAGCTTAAAGACAAAAACTATCAAACAAGAAAATTGTCTTTATGAATACATAAAATTAAATGTCTACAGAATATGAAAGAGAAAAGAATTTTAAGTAGCATGACTCAACGAAACAGACTTAACATAACAGTATTGACGGATACGAATGAACAAAAAAAACAACCAAATATTTTAGTGTGTTTACCTTTAGAGAAACCAAGACTCTGTCCTATGGATCTGGCAAGTCTGGAGCTAGCTGACTCACTGTATAAAAACACATCATTTACAGAGTTCCAATCCACATGGCAATCTTTAAAATGAAGACTGCAAATAACTGTAAAGGAAGAAAAGTATTGTTAGACTACTGTTTGGTAAAAACTGGGGGTTCAGGATTTACATGATAATCAATTTTAATATTGAACAATAAATAATAATATTAAATACATAGTATATAATGATGACCATAAAGAAAATTGGTAAGTCAATTGCAGGTTGATTTAAATAATAGACAACTCTGTTTAAAAAAGTATGAAGATCTAATAGACCGATTTAAAATGGAAATTTAAGTGAACCTCCGTAAACCTTAGCTAGCCCTAAAATCGCGGGTTGAAGACTCTCGTGCATACCTAAACAGGCCGTAGCTATGCAGGGGCCAAGGCCTAACATTTGTCAAAAAATCTCAATATTTGGGGCCAGTATCCTTTGGAGCATTAGCAAACCATTAAGGCAAAATTCTCAAGTTCAATTTCCAATCAATTTGGTATATTTACTGGCAATTATGATGATCAAGGGACAATAATGCAATTTTTAAAAATAATGTTTAAATAATGAAAAAAACAACAATTATAAGTGCTGTCATGAGATAAAGTTTTAAAATAAGTCCTCTAAACATTTCACCTGGCTTTGGTCCTTTACTTGCATCTTGCAATTCAGACATCTGTGATATCTTTTGTCCTCTGAAATGCGAAAGATGCTTGCGTTCTATTTCTCTGACGAGGTCATCGTCCAAGGGTTCAGATGTGTTGCTATAGTACCACACCCCTCGCATCACATGGGCTGGTTCAGCTGGGAAAACATATTTCGACAATTCAAAGAATTAATATAATATAGCATTTTAATACACTGTTTTGAAAAAATTGATTACAACATTGTCTTAAATTGGTATGACATTACAACAAATAATGGATGTAAATAGTTTTTCTAGCTACAGTCGGTGTGTTAATATGGGACAGGTATAGAATAGAATGGTCTATTAGTTCAGGAAATTTCCTCAACGCATGAAAATGATAACTACAGTACAACCCTACTACAGAAGCTCTGTTTCCATTTCAAAAATAGTAAAATGTTGGCTAAAAAACAAAATTTCATAGTGCAAAATATAAGAATTATTATTTATTCGCATGTGTTATTTATTATACAAAAAATGAAATAAAACTGCCTATATTTTTAATCTTAAAGGAAAATATAAAAATACAAAATAAATGTGTAAGTACTGTCCTATCTATATATGCCTACACTATGATGATGGTACTGTAGGCTATCAACACATCAGTTTCATCAATCATATTTACCTGTCCAGTAAATTGTATAACATTTTTTCTCAGTTATATCAACTTCATAAAGTCCACCTCGAACTACAATCCTATCTACCACAGCCTCTCCAAGTTCACCATGAACATATACCTTGCGATATTTAAATTCAAGTTGCAAGGAATCGTATCCGATAAACGGACACCACTTTTTAGTCCTATCATCCCTGTAAAACCATCTGATTTGCTGGGCCGTTAACTCCTTCGTTATCTTCTCTTCTTCTGTGAATGTCCTCTTTTTCTGTCGAGGCGGCGGTGGTCTCGGTGGTGGTATTCTTTTTCCATTTTCTGTTTTCTCTACAAAATCGTGTGTTGTAACTTGGTCTTCCCTAAACTGATGAACTGGGCTAGCCCGGTTACTGCCGTACTGAACATGATGAGGGTACCCTCGGCTCGTTGGACTTGCATACTCACGTTCGTGTTCATCATCATATCCGTAGCTAAGCCTAGGGAGATCACCTGGAGCAGGATAATCCATGATTCCTTTCAGCTTTCTCCAACAACTGCACCTACTTTAATTTCAGAAAATGCTACTCATTTCAAACTGGTAACCACAGGCTCGGATCCTACCTTCCGCGTGGCGCGTTACGGAGTACTCCTGACGTAACATAAATTTTTGCAGAAAGAGAGAGGTGGAGTACGAGAGTATTATTGTTATGAAGCCTATTGAGGGCGATATTTTTTTTTGGATCAATGTACCATAGAGCTGTTTTAAAGCCGTTTCTTCACACATTGATCCTTAAAATATTATTGTGGTCGGATCGTTCCCCTTTTCTGAAGCGGTATAATTATAACAAATGATATAAAGCTGGGGCGGATATAGGGGAATGCAGACGGTGCAATCACACCTCCCTAAATTGTATTAAGAAAAATAATTGTTGTATTATATTGTTGACATGATTATCGGTTTTTAATATGACGACCAATACTAATAGGGGCGTATTCAGTGGGTGGGGCTGTCTCTTATACACATCTAGATGTGGATAAGAGACAGCTACAGTACAACCCTACTACAGAAGCTGTTTCCATTTCAAAAATAGTAAAATGTTGGCTAAAAAACAAAATTTCATAGTGCAAAATATAAGAATTATTATTTATTCGCATGTGTTATTTATTATACAAAAAATGAAATAAAACTGCCTATATTTTTAATCTTAAAGGAAAATATAAAAATACAAAATAAATGTGTAAGTACTGTCCTATCTATATATGCCTACACTATGATGATGGTA